CTAAATTTGAGTGATGCAGAACTTCAGTTCAGGTTTTGTACTTTCTACAAGCTATTATCCTAAAAAATGCTTTACGATAAAATCTGCTCATTAAACCATAACAGACAGGATGCAGGGCGCTTGGAAAACAAGTCAGGGTAAAAACAAGCCTCCTAAAAATGTGACGCGGGGGCCAATACACAAATGCATCAACTCGAAATTCTAACAAAAGAAACTGAACCTGATATGGAATATAACAAATTACGAAGACTAACACCAAAGAATAAATCATTTTTAGGAGGTCGTTTTCCAGTTCAAATGTGTCTGGATATTTGTTGAGTTTATTCTTTCGTCGGTTTGTATCCTGAAATACTTGGGACTTCTGTTTACCTTCGTACTCGAGCTGGATATCTTCTTCGTTTTTGTCGCCCGTTTGGTTTATCAGGCCTCTTTGCCCTGATTGCAATTCCTGTATGCAAACTGAATTCTGTGTGACGCTTGACGATGCTCTTTCCTGCTCATCATGAAGTCATTCTATAACAAAGATGTGTTCTCTAATCTTCTTGTCGACCAGAGCGTAGGAAATTATCATTATGACAAGTGGCAAGGCAAAGTTGATCACGAATAAAACCACGGAGTAAATGTGCTGATAGTGTTCCAATCCTTGAGGGAATTGTTCCGCGCAGAAACGCAACTCGCAATTGTCACCCCATGAAGTCAGCACTCGAAAGTGCCCTGAAGGAAATGACAAACCAATAGATCCCATCCAACTGAGAAGAATAGCAAGACAAACGTTTCTTCGAGTTGATTTTGTTATCGCGGGTTTAATGAGCAGAGCACATCGGTAGACAGCAAGAATGGCCAGGGATGCTGTGATAACAAGGGAACTTGTTACCTGCAGAGAGGGGAGAATCTTGCACATGGCACTCCCGAGCTCCCAAGACCAGGGTCGTTCATATGCGTGGAACATGAATACTATACAAACCATGTTGATAATTTCAGGAAAAGCCAAGTTGCTGACTAAGTAATGTGCGATCGGTTTGGTTCCATTGAGTCTCCAAACAGCTCGACACACCACATAATTTCCAACCAAGGCGAGAGCTGCTATCAGGCTGAACAAGACCGTGCGGGTAATTCGTAATGCTTCGGGTTCAGGAGTGAAAGCAATTGAGCTGTTTGAGGCGTTGGATGCTGAAATGGAACACATCTTTAGAAACGTTGTAGAACATATGTCCACTTCTTAGCTGTTACAGGTGTTGGATGTTGAAATGGAACACATTCCAAGAAATTTTGTTGAATATACGTCGGTTTCTTTGCCTTTAAACAGCTGCAGTGTGTCTCCAAACCTAATTCATCGGATCAGCACTCTTCTCCAACCCGGGGCGAGTGCTGCTAAGCTAAAAAAAGACAGTAAAAATCACGGCAGGAGCTAACGAAAACCGCCGTTGTTTGTGACCGTCGGTGACAATGTCGAATTTACACTGATTAAATGCGCAATATCTTAAAAATAATCACCGCTTTTTTCTCTAAAACTGTTTGCAGAAAAGTACTGCCGTGGTCAGGTTTTAGAAAACAGGCGATGAATCTTGGGTTGGGTATTCGTCAAATTTGTTCATTCGCTTGAAACTGATCCGGAGTGAACGTTCGTTAGTTCGTGGCGATCTAAACTATCATTTGTTTTCGAGAAGATAAATAAATTTAGATTACTAAAAGCAAATATCGGCTCTTGGAATTCTGAATTCGAGTAACTGTTAGCTCCTTTTTAAAAATTGCTGGAAAAGCAAAAATGTTTTGAAAACACCCAATAAAATCTCGTAACTGCTGGTCATAATAGTCTGAAAACAGGACTGAAGCTTTGGCAACAGTTTTAAATCAGTTTGTCGAGCAAGTTTTGAAATAAATTTTGGACAGGATGTTTGAGCAATTAATTTAAAAATCATCATGTCTGGATCAAAATTTCGGCATTTTTAATAATGGAATCGATAGCCAATGCCAAAAGACAGCACGAATTGTCAGTCAAATGTCATATAATAATTCGCATTTATTCAGTAGGTTATCGGCCTGAAGCGATGGGGTTATGAGATATACACCTTAATTGCAGTAACGTTGTCATAGGAGAATGAAAAAAAAACAAAACGTAAATTGTTAAAATCCAAACAGGAATAACTTAGGCTTACTAATAAAATACTTTAGAGTGCATTTATTTGCAACATACGCGAACAGCCGTCGTATTTTCATTATTTTTTTTGTGCTCTAAAAATGCTTATGTATTAAATTAAGAGAGAGAAAGAGCGCAATGGTTTACACAGATATAACAGCGACGCTCAGGTTTGGAATTTTCAAAACCGCTCCGGGCGTGATTTGAATACGCCCTGAGGCTAAGCAAGTTTTTGTGCGAAGTCGGGTTCCCACGCAACTTGAATTTCCGTCACAAACGGTGCTCCAAGTGCTTTGTGTGTATTTACCCAGAAGAATACCGCCGATCAAACGTGTCACTCACGACAGGAGCCTGTATGGGCTACTGCTCACAGCCATTTCAATTTATTCACAGTGTTGTCAATTTGCTCATGGTAATTCGCCACTTTAGAAACGAGAAGGGAATGAATTCCTTGTCCCTATAGTAACCCAGAGTCCCAGGGGTCTTTGCGAAGTTAACTCGGCCCAGTTTCCTTCACGATAATTTTCGCCATCTTTAAACGATACGCGCAAGACCTACTGGGATTTATTTGTAATTCCACTGACAAGTAGGCTAATCAATCCGTGAGATATAATTGTCTTAAGATCAAAATTGAAATTGCCATGAACAAATTGAAATTGCCGCGACATGGCCTACGAAGTGTGAGAAAAGGGTTTATATGCTAAAAATAATTCTGATAGTCTCACATTTGTACTTTACACTTATGCACTTTACACACCCGCATTTCAATTATTGATTGATCACTTTTTATTTAATTTTATTCATTGATTCATTCATTCATTCGCTTATTTATAAATTATACAGAATAAATCATGGCCGCATCTAAATTCTTGACGTAGAGCCTAATACGGGGTGGGGGGGATTCAACGAAGTTTTAAAGGGGAAACTCTACCCCGAAGTCCAACCCCTTACTCTTTAATACACTATTTTTTACAGAAGAGGTACCCCTTTCTTATACCTTCTATTGATAAACTTAGTTCAAAACACACATCTCTTTTAACTGCTGTAGATACACCGTTTTTATATATCAAAAAAGCTCTGGACCAGGAAGTTTTCTTTTCTTTTTCTTAACCACAAAAGTGTCGCTTTCTTATATCTGAAACCTAAAAAAGGTATCCCTTTGGGGCGTAGTCTCCCCGTATAGGCGAGAGGGAGAAGCCTCCCCCCCCCCACCCGGGGCCTAACGAAAGTTAATAGGGAGTTTAAGCAGCGACGTTTTTGAGCAACTCACGTCGACCGAAAGTTGACTTTTTGCACTCTTGAGCCACGATTTTGAACAAATTTTTGGGCAAATCGTCTCTTATTTAAGAGTAAAGACACTTAGCAATACAGATTTGGTATCAAAGGTATCCCTTTGGGGCGTAGTTTCCCCGTATAGGAGATGGGGAGAAGCCTTCCCCCCCCTCCGGGGCCTAACGAAAGTTAATAGGGAGTTTAAGCAGCGACGTTTTTGAGCAACTCACGTCGACCGAAAGTTGACATTTTGCACTCATGAGCCACGATTTTGAACAAATTTTTGGGCAAATCGTCTCTTATTTAAGAGTAACGACACTTAGCAATACAGATTTGGTAGCGTCAAGGCGTATTAAAAGTGATAATAAAGCCTCACTTCCGATTGAGGTGCGTCGCTCAAAAACGTCGCGTAACTATGGGTAAGGCTACGGAAATGATTGTACACTAAAACAGAAAAAAAAAAAGGTAACTTGACTTCAATCTGTTCGTAGTCACCCTTACCAAGACCCATACTGAATAAACGGGGCATCAATTCAGTTAGGATCTTAGACATACAGACTTACACTGTTTACAGCTCGCCATTACGACACCTGAAGGAGGATCATGAGGTTATCCCTAGTATATTAAGATCTCTCCTTATAGATAACCCACCCAGCCCAGAAAAGGTTGGCCACACTACCGGGGTCTACTTTCCACTTTCCCTACTATTTTCGAACAGTGGTGTGGCTTCTCTTACGTTCCACAGATAAGCCGTAATGTGAAAGAGTTGTGAGACGGGACCTAAGGTTTTTCGTCCTTATTCGAGAAGAATAGAAAGTCTAACTGTTTGCAGATGCCATTACAAAGGCAGCACTTTCTTCTCAGTTTTTTCAAGACCCCGAATTTCGGTCCGGCCGGGGTTTGAAACCTCGACCTCCTGCTCAGCAGACTGGCGCTCTCCCAACTGCGCTAACCAGGTGGCGGTTGAACCAGCCCTAAAAAAAGCAAGTAATTGACCTAGAATGCCAAAGACAACCACATCAAACAAGGAAGCAATCACATAAACACTCAAAGTAAATGAAAAGCAGCCTCCCTCGCAGACTTTTTTCTTCATCACGCGTTCCTCTGTACGAACGCACGACCACACCTTAGAATGAGATTCCATGTTGTAGTATTTGTTTCCTGTTTTATCGGTAATTTATGCAATATCGTTTTCTACTACTATTACTACTACTACCACGACCATCCGCACCGCCACAACCACTACCACCACCACCACTACCACTAACGCTAACACTAACACTACCACTACCACTACCACTACCACTACCCCTGCTACTATCACTACCACTCCCACTACCACTATTACTGTCACTACCACTACCACTACCACTACTACTACCACTACCACTACCACCACCACTACCACTACCACCACCACTACCACTACCACTACTTTACCTACTACCACTACCGCTACCGCGGTGAGTGAACATTTCAGTCGATCAAAAGTGTCTTTAGTTTTAAGTGGATGAGAAATTAACGCGTGTTTTCTCGAAAGGACAGTCATGCTAAATTTCAGCAAACGTGATTGATGTCCTATTACTGAGACTCAACCCCTGCACATTACAATTCTGGAAAATGCTCTTGCAAAGAATCTGTTCATGGTGCCATAACAGAGAGGATGAATTGCACCTGGCAAGCAGGTTAGAATATAAAAATAGTTGCGCAAAACTTCATGAAAGGGAAAGCGCCAACCGCTAGGTCCTGTTGTGTATTCCCACAGAAAAAGGGCTTGGTATGGAGCATAGCATACTACAAATGAAATGATAATCACATATATCATTCTCAATAAGTCGAACTCCTGTTCTGCGCCGGTTCTGCTTCTTCTTGGCTGCTTTTTGTATTCCAGTTGTACCTGCCTATCAGATCTGTTCGATCGACCATCGTGTGTGTCTCGGCTTTCATCGGAGTACAGCGAAAGTCGGGTGCGTTCAATGACGTTGTGTCGGATATGGCGCTTGATTTTCAGTGCAACTGCGCCGTAAGACCACGACATGATCAAGTAAGGAAATAGAAACGTCAGTGCAAATCTCATTATGCTGTATATCTCAATACCAGAAAATTTTGACAAGCACACTTTATGACCAGATGGGTATTCCATTAGAATCCTTGTAGCAAACAAAGGAAGCGAAATTGAAAGTGCTAGCACCCACATAACTCCAATAACCGTTGCCAAGGTTATTGATGTCATTTTCTTTCCAATTGAGGTTATGGTAAGAGCACGATAGCGATACACTGCAATAGCCGCTAGGTTGAAGGTGACTACAATGGTTGCTAAGACTTGGAGCGGGATCAGTAGCTTACAGGCGAAATCGCCGAAGATCCAGGTGTACTTTTCTTGATACGTCATCACAAATGGCTGGCATATTGAGCTGATTACTTCTGCAACAGCCAAGTTTGCTACCAAATAGTAGGCGAACGGTTTGCAACGGAGATGCAGTCCGATCACGGCTTTCAAGACGAGCGCGTTACCAACCAAGCTTGCCAAGATGATGAAGGAAAAGAGTACCGGTCTAAATACTCGCGATCCATGCGGTTCTATGTAGAGGTCCACTGGTAAAGGTGCCTCCGTGGAGCGATTGGTCTGATTTCTTACGTCCATTTCATTGCTCCCTTTCAATTAGTTACTCGAGTAGGGCTGGTATTTTCTCCTACAATAAGAAAAAAAGAAAGAAAGAAAAGAGATATGTTAATTTGCCTAATGTTTTATTCTTTTTTAGGTCTTAAACTGTGACTCAGTACTACCTGTTAAAAATACAGTTAAGGGTGCATGTTTTTTTGCCCTCGTTTTGCCTGCAGTAACCTTGGCAATAAAAGTGCTTAAAAAGCTCGCTCCAAACGTATTTCGTCCTTACAAACGATCTGCGCCTGAAAAGATCTTCCGTTAATTGAATCGTTTCTGATAGCAACTGAGGTTTGAAGAGTATTAAGGCAAAAATTGTGTCAGTTAGGCACTTTCTAGTGCAATTAGTATCAAGGCAGCTATGTCAAGAAAAGATAGCCTTATATAAACAACGTTCGAAAAAAGATATGATTTTCTTGTCAAAAATGATATTTTCTGTCAAGGCTTTTTATGAAGAGGTTAAACATGCAAAAATTGAAAGGAACTGAAAAGCAAGTACTCGACAGCAAAAGCTGCAAAAACTCCGCGAGAAATACAACGAAATAAAAAGAACAAAGACAAACATTGCTCGATGTAGTTTTTAGACCCTTTACTTTCATGACTCGTTTATAGTAAGGAGTTTTACACACAGGCGATTGTTAACAAAACATAATACAGTCAAACTTGTGTTAATTAAGCAGAGCTGTGTTTAGCGGTCAACCATTGTAAACTCGTTATTCTAAGGCCATTTCAAAAACGACCGAAATATTACTGATTTCCTTAACTAAACTACTTGTGACAAGAGGCATACCTGACATAACAGTTAACCGCTGCCCTCCCCCCCCCCCCCCCCCCCCCCCCCCCCCCCGGCCGCGTGCCTGCGCGCCTCCTCATCTTAAATTATCTCACTTGTCCTATATTCTCAAAGTTTTTGTTTTTGTGTACTGTTTTTTTTTTATTTTTTTTTTTAAATAATTTTCACCTATAACTAAACATACCATATTTTTATAATTATTTGTTAATCTGC